CTCTCAAGGTAGAAATTTGAAAGTCTTTATTTTGTCGCTCCTTGTAGAGTTTTTTTTATCTCTTATCAAATTTTATGGTAAACTTTATGTAACGAAGCGTACTGCTATTATTAAATAATTTTGGTTGATTCAATATAAATAATATTTTTGATATCTTAAAAACAATTATTCGTCTAAAAAAAAGCTATCAAACATATATAATCTTTTTAAAAAATCTACCTTATCTAAAAGTCAACTATAATAAAAATAAATTTTGATTAATAATTATCGATTACATTTGTCCTTTATTTAAAGTTTCGAAAATTACTATTAAAGCTAGGGACTTTCATTATAACAATTATATTCTTCTTATTAATAGAGACAGTTCCTTCCATAAAGTGTAAAATGACGCTTACTCGGGTAATAATGGTTTACGAGACGTAGTGCCGAAGAAATTAGGTCAGAGTAACTGGTTTATCGGTCTTTATAAAATAAATGCTTAGTTAACAAACATATATTAAGCTTTTTTTTATATAAAAAAAAAAGGCGATAATTGGCATTCTTATTACGAAAATACATGAAACTTAAAGGAAAGATTTTGAACCTTGAAAGTTCACATTTGGACCTTCTTTGTTCAAACGATTGTATGTCTGGTAATATTTATCTTAATTTGTTCCATGTAATTGAAAAGCCCTATCGAGTAATTCCCAAAAGCTCTCATTTAGCAAGGAAAGGGATAACTGAAAATTGCTACGTTTTCATAATTATCTTAAGAATAGAAATTTGTGAGACAATAATTTGAATTCTTATCTGGGAATATGAGGTGTAAGTTTCTTTAAATCAATAATTAATAAAAGCTTCGCATGCAATAATTCGAAAAGAAAATTTATTGCAAAATTATAATTGAAGATGGGAAATATCAGATTAGAAAATTGGTATATGTTAGAATTTGGTTACAAATCAAGGTCTTCATTTATTAAAAGATGACAACTTTTTATTTTTTTTTTTTTAAAAAAAAAATATATATATAAGCGTTATTCATTATAAATTGCATCAATTCATTATAAACTTATGGAACTCTCCAACAACTGAAGATATAATTGCCGCTATAATTTGGTCTGATAGTCCAGTTGGCTTGGGAGTATTGCTAGGGCTCTATATAATTGTGAACAGAAAGACGTTATTCATTATAAATAGCATGAATTTCATCTTTAACCTACCGATAAACTTGTGGAACTCACGCTGGGATTTTTAGCAGATACTATTATAACCAGTCTTTCCACAACAACCAAACGTACAAGGGCCCAGCTTGATAGCTTCGCTGCCTTTACCATGACAGTCCCACATAAGATCCCAACCACAATCAGAACCTAAATAATAAAAGCCGTTAAATAGAATTGAAGAATTGTAAAGAAAAAAAAGAATTCGACTTTACTTACCACCACCATTATATAGCAGTTCACCACCACAGTATTCATCGATGCCTTCTTTTTTAGTGCATTTGCAGGAGAGCGAATTATAGATGTAGAAGGAAACGAATCCCAATATAAAAAGGAGATGAATAGAAGGGCTCATTTTCATCTGTTAATATTAAAAAATTTTCGTGTTACATTGATTTTCCTTTTAGTGATTATTTTTTTTATTACATTCAACGCGAAACCTCGCTTTAAAAATAAGTTTTACAAGTAGAGACAAATATATAACTTTAACAACAAAAATATATGTAATTTTATGGGAGGAAGAAGATTCTCTTAGGTTGTAGAGTGTGTTGTTCAGTTGGATTTTATGTAAAATTCAAAAAAATCAATTTTTTAAATAAAAAAAAAGAATTTTTAATTTTATGGTGTCAAGCTCTTAATAAATGCTTTGAATTTAAATACAACTTGACGGAAATAACAGCTTTATTAAAGTGAGTTATTTATCTTGTTCCTTGAGACTCCATTTTAGTTAAATAGACAATATTAATACTAAAAAAAATATGTAGAAGTTTAAGAATAAATATTTTTATTAATATATTATAGGGGATAATAACATAAAGTTCTTTCTGTTTTGAATTATGGACTATATAGAGAGGAAGAAAACAAATATTAGGAAACTAAAATAGATAACTTTAATTTGAAAACTATAATTATTATACAAAAAAAAAAATTTGATATATTAAATAGTTCTATCCATTATTAAAAAATTTAATATTCTATTGTATTAAATTAATTTTTTATTATAATAAAATACGAAGTAGCTATAATAAGGAATTTTTATTTTTAGTATCATATTTTTAATTAATAAAAGAAAAGTTTTTTTAAACC